TCATGTCTTAATTTTTGCTCATTTCTGTCATATAAAGTAAAAAATAAACATCAAGAGTAAAATTCCCATTAGGAAGGTTTCTTCCTCCATAAAAGAGTTCTCTTTGTCATAAAAGGAATATCCTTTTTCTATTTAGGAGAAAAATGTACTAAAGTTTTTGTTTTTTTGTTTTGTTTGTTTGTTTTTTCTAGTACTGGGAATTGAACTCACTACCTTGCGCTTGCCAGGCAGGCACTGTGCCGCTGAGCTAAATCCCCAGCCCCCAAAATGTACAAAAGTAAGAGAAGATCCAATCATGTAGAAAAGGAATCCTAAAATAATGTAATTAACAATACAGTACTTATAATTAGTTCAAGAAAATGAAAGGAATAGACTAATCCCGGGTACAGACTGGCAGAAAAGATTTCATGCTGCATTTGTAGTGGGCATCTGCTCCGTGGCATTGAGATGTCTTAGTGCAGGCTAAACAGGAAAGATTGCTGGATATTTCCCTTGGTGCAGAACTGGGAAATAACAGCACTCCCACAGTGTTCTTCGCTGTTTGGGTCTATCAGTACTAGTATAGTGCCGAGAAAGTCTGGGGAGTAAGATTTAAACACAATCTCTGACAACAAAAGGGAAATTTACCACAAAATAGCTAAGTCCTTGCGAGAGAAAAGAAAAGGTTTGTTCTGGAAAGAGATAATTACTAGCTTTTGAAACATATTGCACAAGCTGGTAACGTTTGGAATTTGCAAACTTGAGAGAGATGAAATAGGGTGATACAAGGGGATAATTTGTAGCAGGAAATCTACACATCAAAGCAGGAAAAGTGTGCATTCTTATGTCTAGGGATGTGCCACATGAACAACACCGATTAGCTCCATCAAATCCGAAACTGAAAATCTTGAAAGAAAAACAATATAAACCCAAAGATTAAACAAATCACTAACACTCAGTCCCCCTTTTCCCACTTTATCCTTTGTTTTGGGTAAGTTCCAAGCAGTACTTTTCCTACAATTTCCTAATCTACATCTCACTTTTTCTCTCTTTCTAATTTAGTTTCTTTTGTAAAACAATTCTGAAATGAGGTATAATAGGAGAGGAAGGACAAAGGAAATTAAATGACTAATCACCTAATTATGTTAGAAGCTTATCTTCTATCTCTTTGTTTTTCTTCTACTTGGTTAACATCTGTGCATTTATGAAGAGTTCAGTGTACTTTGCAAAACAATAGCACTAAAATTAAGCTTAATCTATTTATTTCACAGCTAGTTATATAAAGGCACTTAGGAAATAGATGTTCCTCACCACATTTTGAGGCTAATTTATATACCTAAACTGGCTATTTTCTCAAGACAGGCAGGTTGTAAAAGTTCATGTACATTATTCTATCCAAGGTAAAATAAAGTTTCAAGTCATCTGAAGGATCAACATAGTTCTGTTCATTCCGTCTTCAAGCTTAGTAAAATTTACTCTATGATTAATCTTAATCATTCATTTGTGTCTTCCTCTTCCTTAAACTTCTGAGAAACGAGTCTTGTGGATACAACAGAATCTTAGCTTCTTCAAGCAAAGAATCAAAGACGGGTGTAAACACAACCCAGAGATGATATATCTCAAGGAAGAAGTAGAACTGACATCTCCTCAAATTACTTCATTAGTTTTCATAACACCAGAACACTGTAGCTATCTGGAAAACATGCATTAACAAATTTGATTAAATACTTATTGAATATGTACTTTACTATGTACGAGTCAGTGCAGGGAAGTGTAAGGATAAACAAAAGACCTTTCCATCCGGTCACAGGATAGTGGGAGACTTAAGCATTTCTACAGATCTTTCTATTCATAAAAATTGTGATAGGTAAACAAAATATGACTAGAGAGATAAAGTCAGAGAATTAGCTCACTCCAGACAATCTGTCTGGCAAGTGGCAGAGACAGGTCGGGACTCCAGGTCTCTGTTTTGAGTTTCACTGGCAGCTCTTCACAACTCCGAAAACAGTCATTAGCCATGAGTACACTTAAAGAGCTCTGTGAAACAATAGTTGGGAGATAGGGTTTGGGATATATAGGAGAGAAAACAATAGAATACGAAGACACTGATTAGCTACATTGTTTGCTGGGAATGACAGATAACAATTCCAATCTATAATGGTAGTAGTATGCCAGTGCTAGGTCCAAGATAGTCAGCTAAATACAAGGAAAATAATTCAAGCCAAATCACTAATTAAGTTTAAAAATGAAAGGTAAACCCAAGAAGAAGAGAAGTTAAAATACGAGCGGAGATAGGGACCTTTCCTCTCAGGAAGAAGGTATGCTAAGTTGCTTGACAGTTCCTCCGTAACTTCCAGGCTGGACTTGGAAAAACTTAGAAATGCATAGTAAGTGGTTTCCTTTCCTTTCAACTCTGCTTCCTTTGAACCAGCTAAATGATTTTCTTTGGACTCTAGAGCCACAAAGCCAAATTTTTAAAACAAGTTCCCATGCCCTGCTTAAATATAAAGGCAAAATACAGAAAATTCACATTGGCAATTTGGCTTCTAGAATTCCCTCATAGTGGAAGGTTTTTAAAGTACTTTTTATTTCCAATAAACTCTCCCCTAACCTCCTCCCATTGTTCACAATTTTATTCTTCAACTTAGTGAGATAAAGAGCTTGGGTTTGTACAAAATTAACTGTTTCCCTAACTTATATACATATATTAGTTTTGGGTTTCAAGGTTTATGCTTTCTTTTATGTTGGTTTATCTGAATTCAAGCTTCATCTTACAAAGAGCATTTGCATTTAATAGACAATTGATAGTAAATTGATGTTACTTCTTATAATCAGTGATGTCTAAATGAAGAAATCTTGGATCTGCTACCCACTATCTATATGAGCGGGGCCCTGAGTCTCATTTCAGCCTCTTTATCTACATAATAAGAGTGAGAATAGAGTTTATGAAGATTAAATGAGATATCATATATAAATCACTTAGTTGTACCTGGCGCAAAATAAGTCCACAGCTAAAAGTAGCTATGGTCATTTTATTGTTGGTGATGTTTACTAGTGTATAGGTCAAGCACAGCTCATAACTGCTCTCTATCACAATTGTATCCTCACACATAACACACATGGTCATACTCCGACATCAGCCCACTCCTAGAAGGAAAGGGATTGTAGTAGCAGTTAAGAGGATGAGGCAAATTAAAGGGGGAGGGCAGCCAACCACTGAAAACTTTCTTTGGGAATGTAACCTCTGAGAGAAGAACTATTTCTCTGAAAGTATGCAGATGCATTGTAAGAGAACATCAATTTTCTACTCTGTTGGAGGATGAGCAAATTGTGGCTTCTTATCACTGAATTCAATAGTGACAATAACACTGACAGTTATCCGGTGACAATGGCATCCATGAATGAGGAGAGAGACTTCAGAAGAAAAACAATTATAATTAGACCACAAAAAGGAAGCCAGAAGAATACAGAAAGGGCTACATACAATATTGCTGAGGTTTCCTAGCAACAGGGTAGCATTTCTTTTTGTTAGAAAATTGCCAAATGGTAAGAATAGGATACAACATTAGCCCAGGAGGGCTAAAATGCATGACTACTATCAATGAGGCTATCATTACATTCATAGCAAAGTCAATATATAACGATGCTTTGCGGCACATGCTTCAAGAGACTGCTTATATAACTAGAGGGTGTGTATATGTGTGTGTGTGTGTGTGTGTGTGCATGTGTGCACGAGTGCTAATTTCATAGTCACATCGATAGAAAGGAGGAATGGAAAGTCAGATGGTATGGGAAGAAAAAAACTTTAGGTCCCACCCCCAACTGGAATGTAATGTGCAGAACAAAGCATTAAACTCAAAGAGACATTCTATATAAACCAGATGTGAGTTGGCTAAACATGTGACTTTTCCCAGTAATATTTACATTTTCGGAAGCAGCTCCTGGAAATGAGTTCTTTTAAACTGTAAGGTACAAGGAGAAGGATTTCAGCACCTGCAAAGTAGATATTTTTGAAGCTGAAAATCTTCATAGCAGCTGAAAGAGTTTACAGCATACAATCTGTTCTCCTGTCCAAGATCAGTGTGCTCAGATGAAAAACTGGCCTCCTTTATAAAAGGCTAATACAGTCGGCAGCGGCGGGTACAGAACTGCATACGTTATCTGTCAATCTAAACCACCATGATGAAAATTATTCAAATCAATCAATTAAAAGCAAACTCACATAAATAATGCATTTGCCACCCAACTTTGTTCTGTTTTCCTGCCTGGGTTCATAATCAAGGGAGTTAACATTCTTTAAAATGCAAATATTCATGTTTTTAATCTTTAAAGACCTTGCTAAACAGACAATAAATACAGTTCTGCCAGGTGTAGTTCAGAAAATCCTTGGAAAGGGAAGCACTTGCCAGACAAATTTCAGTGTACGTGAAAAGGAGATGAAAAAGAAAATGACTCCCACATTTTCGGAGTAGCACTCCAGGATCTTTAAAACACTACGCAAATATTCACTGGTGTGTTCCCACACCTCTTGCATTTAGACAAAAAAGAAATAAGCCAGTGCCCAAATCGTTCAGGAAGGAAGGGTGGCACTCCAAACCAGCCTTCCTATGGGCCCCAGGTCTGCTGCTTCCTGAAACCTTCACCTTTATCCTTCGGACCTTTCCTCACTGTGTTTGAACAAATACAACAGTATTCTTTAATTCATGTGTGAAAGGTCACCAGTCACACACCTTCTTCGGGCAGCAGAAATACCCAGCTACCCCGGTCTCTCCCAGTAGAGCTCCCAGCACACTGAAGCTGGACATCTGGAAAATATTGTTTGCTGTTTAAGCCATCACTCCAACTGTGTGCCGCTGGCAGGGGTTCCTGCTACTCAGACCTTCGGTATTTATTGGGAGAGCCCCGTGCACTGGTTCAAGGATGCCCAGAGGGAGTCCTGGAAAATCCTTTTGAGCTTCCTGGGATGGGCTGCATGGCTGGCATCCTATTTGGACAGTGTGCCTTAGCTTCTGACTGTGGGGATGGAGAGGCCAAACCCCCTCTGTTGTCTAAAGACCTCCAAGTTCTTCCGATATCCAGCTTCTGCTTTCCAAAGAATTCAGGAGTCGGTTGATTGTTTAAGCCCAACATGCGATGGGCTCATTAATGCTCAGTCTGAAGTATGGTAGATGTCACTACTATAGTGTAAAGGGGCATTGTCTAGCTCTGAGAAAATGGAATTGCTAACATCAGGGTAATTTTATTGCATAGCAGCTACGGAAAGAGAATGAAAATTGGATTTTCTTAAGCAGTTAACTGAAATTTTAATGGATCTTAATCTCATTCCTAAAACTCTTCCTTCTGTCAAAGTTGAGAGTAGTTAGATTTTGTGAAGGACATCAAAGTTGTCTTCCAAACATTTCCCTTTCCCAAAGCTGGACTCTCCTTGCCCCTCCAGGCCTTAGCCAGGATACCTCTAAACCAATCAAGGCTCAGGCCAGTACGTGGCACTTGGAGTCGTCCTGGTTCAGTACTGGAAGAATTCTGCCTCTTTGCTCTTTTCGATGCGAATGCAGAGCAGGTGGCCCCAGAGGACGCCAAAGTCATCTTGTGAAGTCAGCCTGAGGGCAGAGCTGATGTCAGAGGAAGCTGGCACAAACAACTGTTTCCCTAGTGGCTGCACCCCAGTTGAATCTAGCTTCACCCCCACAAAATTTCTGGGCTTTTAGCCTTTTGTGCCAAAAAACTCATTTAATTTTTGAGCCAGCGTGGGCTGCCTTTTGTTTTTTGTGTCCTAAAGAGCTTCCACAGACACCAATAAAGGGGCAACATGAGCACCCACAGATTTCCCCGCCTTCAGTTTGAGGACTGTAATTCAGGCCCTTATCTGGGGAGGCTGCTAAAAGTACCACACACTTTCCAAGTCTCAGAGGCTGGCCGGGGAGTGATTTTTTTTCTCTTGTTCTCTGTTACCTTTTCTCTTGTTACTAGGGCCACTCGTACAAATCCAAATTGTTTCTTTTTCCCTCTTTAGTTCCAGGATGACAACTCAGTTGTTTCTGGAACAACTATAACCTCAGCCAGGACGTTCCAAACGAGTTACAACAATGTCTACATCCGAGGAAGACAGCCTTTTATGGTGAGTGGCTTACTACTTCATTGCCTTCAAGTCACGGACATTAATGTCAGCAAGGTTACGAACCTACATGTGCTCTACCCTCAGAATATGTTTGCAGGTTTGCCGAATCCGTCCCAGAAAAAAATTTTCAGGCCATGTCAGTAAGAGGCATAAAGGGATTTAGAAGGTTGAAATTTAAAAGTAAACACTCAAAGAAATAGAGTACAGGCATGTGAGAGAGAGAGAGAGAGAGAGAGAGAGAGAGAGAGAGAGAGAGAGAGAGGCAGACAGGTACTGGAACCAGGAACATTTATGTTTGCCTTGAGAGGGTGGAAACCCCAGGAAAATGTGATCCAACTTGAGAAGGGTACCGGCCCATCTTAAAGGTGTAAGTCCTGTTTTTTCTGTTCTTCTAAGATGGATAATTTAAGGTTAGTTTGAATCCATTTATTTTAGGATCTGGTTCCTGTTCTTTCCTTTTTTTTAAAAATGTAAGCCAATCCATGGATTTATAGTGTTCTTGAGGAATTTTTTTGTGTGATGGGGCTGGAAGGAAAGGATCCTAAATTAACCAAAGTGATGTTGAAATGGATCACCTGGGGTAACATTTTCTGTTTCTTGGAAGTTGTCATTTTTCTTAAAAGTATAATTTTTAGTAATGATTTTTCCTGTGTCCTTTCTACCTATCCTTATTCCTTCTTTCCCACCTCATGAATATCTTCCACTGTCTTGCCACCCCCAAATACCACCCCAGTTTTGGAACTTATCTTGCTTAACCAGAAATCCATTAAAATATTTTTCTGAAGAAATGGACAATTTTCCTCAAAGAAATCGAAGCTGTCCCTACCTAGGCAGAAGAGACTTTAGTTTTCTATATTAACACATTTGTAAATACTGGGCAAGAAACACATGAGTGTGGCTAATATTTTTGTAATAAAATTGCCTTGTACCTTTCCACTAATAATAAATAGGATTTGGGAAAATTAATAAAGGGTATGAACTTGTCTTGTTGACTAATGTAGCACAGTGCAACAAATACTTAGAAGTTTAATAGATATTACTTAATGCTCAAGTAGAAAGTCAGTAAAACAAATTTCTTATTTTATTGAGGTCTTTTTTTGGAGGGGATGTGATTTAGCAGCTAACACTCTTTCCACATGTTCCATTACATTTTTTTTTTCATTAAGAGAGGATTTTGTTAAATCTCGCTACTCATCAGAAACGCCTTTATCTGATTTATTTTTGCATTTCACCAATGAAGGGCTATGAAAGTCAATATCTTGGGGAAAGTACTATATTCGACTCAGGAAGATAGTATTATGATTAATATTACGCTTTAATTAAGTTACATTGACATTCATAATGGTTCTAAATCTGGCTAATAAGAACTAATATTTTCTTGGATAAAAAGCAATGCAAATTCTAGACAGTGATCAACTATTAGTGTTTGGTTTTAGCACTTCAGATGAAATGGATCATATTCTGTGGGGAAATTAGAGAACTAATTATGAAGAGTTATGATGTTCTGAAAAAATAGATTCTCAGCAGAAGATAATTATAACGGTTTCTGATAGGCCTAAACATTTTAATATGTCGGACTTCGTGAGGGGGTTGGACTTCTACATTGTATGCCATGTTCTCTTCAAGAGCTACTGTGATTGTGCCATCCAGAATAACTCCGTGGTGGCATATGACATGAAAAGATAACCTCAGACACCATTTCTGTCCATCATGAACACATTCACATAGGACTTTTGCTGGGAATCCAAAGAATCCTCACGTGAACCCAGCCCCAGTAAACAAGGCAACTTCCTTCCCCTGCAGGCCCAGAGAGTACAACCAAGGCTTCACAGCAAATCTTGGGGTCTTTGGACTTATCACATTGTACTCTCCCCCAATCTGGACATGTCCCCCACTTGCACCGCAGTCACTGATCTTTGCCAACTATTTTTCTACGAGCCACTTGGTCACTCTGACTCAGACATGTAGATTCATTTTGCTCCTCAGCCATGTCAAACGCAATCTTTGTTTTCAAACTCAGTCTTGACCTGGGGTTTTTTTCTTAACTGTCCTCTGATTGGAAGTCTCTTCCCGCAAGGCTGGCAGCAAATGTCAGTGTTGGTTCACGGGTTCAGTGCCATATTCTCAGAGAGCCGTGGCCTGGTGGCTCATTCTGAGGCTGTTCGCTTACCACACCCACACTCACATTATCTTGGTTTTTCTTTTCTTCTTGTAACTGCCCCAAAAGAATGTTTTGTCCGTTCTCTCACCTTTTAGAAGTCATCTCCTCTAGAGCACAGAACTTGTTTGTTCTTCTGTATCTCAAGCATCTAGAAGTGCTCAAAATTATGCTGAAGGAATGAAGAGGGAAAATGAGTAAATGAGCAGAGGTAAAATGAAATTAAACTGGGTGTGATAACACAGGCCTGTAATTCCAGCTACTCAGGCTGAAGACAGAGGATTGCAAGTCTGAGGCCAGTCTGGGCAAATTAGCAAGACCCAGTCTCAAAATTCTGAAAGGGCTGAGGATGTAGCTCTGTGGTGGGATGCTTATCTACCATGCATGAAACCCTGAGTTCACTCCCTGGTGCCTCAGAAAAAATTATGATGAGAAAAAAAATCACAAACAGTGAATCTCTAGAAAGAAGGAAGGGTTATCTCACTATCCAGACTTGAGTGACAGGGAAGGATTGAATTGGTTTTACGGCTGGGTAATGATAACCTCCTTTTCTCCGCAGTGTGGCCTTCCCAGTCAGTCACTAATTAGTCACCCTGTAAGATTTCAAGGGTGGAGTTTGGGAGACTCACTCCATGAATTAGATTCCTTTTTTTCCCTCTCAGTATATTCTGGCACCAGAAATAATGGAGAACTTACTCAACTATAAATCAGTTTGAAGTGGTGAATAATTGGGAAATATACCAAGTTTATAGGGGCAGGAGGCCTCATAGTTTTAGAGTTTTTGGAGCGTTCTAGCGCTTTTTCATCTCCTATCCTTCTACCTATTAAAAGGGAAAATACTGGAGTACATCTGGGGGTGTTAATGCCACACCTCAAAGTGTACAGGTCACTTTTGATGGATGGAATAACCTATTGATTATGAAACACAAGTGTGTTTTATTTTTTACCTTGACTTCCTTGAGCCCTAGACACCTGAAGCCAGTGAAATGATGGGGGTGTAAAGTCATTCTTGCTTAGAATACTTGTCTCCTCCTTACACACTTTGCACACTCTGAGCTTTATATTGTCAGAAGCAGGCACCAAAATACGGGGGAATTCACTGCACATGACAGGAACACTCTCACATGTGTGCGAGAATGTATTTACCTTCCTTTTATTCCAAGTAGACTTAAAGCAACTGATACCAAAAGGACATAAATAAAGTCGGACCTTTCATTCATTCACCAGTGTAAATGATGGCAGAGAGATAGAAACACTAAATCAGGAAATGTGGTTTCATTTGGTACCGGGAATCAAACTCAGGACCTTGTTCTTGCCAGGCAGGCATTGTGCCACTGAGATATCTCCCCAGCCCTGACACGTGGCTTCTTGATGTCCCCTTGATTGATATGTTTGTCCATTCATTTACTGAACATCTGTTTAGCAAAACAATATTTCAAGTGTTGAAAATTAGGTTTGTTGCCCAAGTCGTGCTATTAGGGAGAAGAGGGATTCAAATACAAGCAGCGTGGCTGTAGGATCTATGTGCAGATGCACGTCTTCGAAATTACAAGTATGTCAGTCCAGTTCCCAAAGACGGAAGTGCTTCCCAAAAAGGATCACAAAGCTGGGAACCTAACTCAGTACTTCCCAAGCTTTATTATGCGTGAGTATTACTTAGGGGGTCTTGTTAGGAAGTAGATTCTGATCAGTGGGTCTGGTTGGGGCCAGAGACTGCCTTCCTAACAAGCTCCCCAAGGACGCTGATCCTGCGGTCTGCAGACCACACCCTGAGAAGGATAGCTAATCAAGAACAGATGCCGCTTCAAGTGGTCTTTATAGTAACTGACACGCTGCCCTCTTGCGGCTTTTGGAATAATTGCCCTCTGGCGTTTTCTTTGCTCTGGAATTAAACATCTGCCGGCGATCTTAATAATCCCAAATTAATGCTTTTCAAACCTTAGTCTCCTCATAACATTTTCATATTTTTGCCATGTGCCCCTATTTCCACATCTTACCGTTATAACCTTACCATATCTGTGCACAGTCTCCTCTCCAAATTTATTATTTGAATTAGCTTTCTTTTCTTTACATAGACTTCTTTTCAGAGGGAATTTGATAATACTGTCTCAGATGGAAAGACCAATATTGTTATCACAAGTACAAGATAAGTACAAAAATAATTGAAAGAAAACAAAACACTCTTTAAAAGTCTAGGTAGATGCCTTCCAAAGCTCCAAACCAGAGACTCTGTCTTTGTTAAGAGGAGATTAACGAGCTTTAGAGTGTTAAAGATTCAGAGCAGTAAACTTGCTTGTGTTTCTATAGCATCAGGAGGATCAAAAGGCAGCTAAATAGAGATTAATGCTTATGTAGTTCAGCGTTCTTTAATGAAGAGAATATGCACTGCTTAAATCATCCTTGGGTGAACAGCCGTAGAGGATGTTAAGGGACTGTTCTTTCGCTCCTTCGTGTCATCTGTGCCCGAGAGGTGTGTTTATGGATCGAAGTTCATTAGCTTTGCAACAAGATTGGTGTAAGGAAAGGTGTGTGAGAGGGGAACTCTAACTGGCTCTTTCTGCATAACCAGTGGGCATGGGGCTTAGTGGGCCCTGTAGTCAGATAGACATGGTTTATTTCTGTGCTAACTCATTGTCCGTTTTCTGGATGTTACTAGAATCCTCCTGCAGTCATAAATAAACTTGTTGTAATCGATTCATCCATCCAGGAGCAGCAATTTAGCCTTAAAATATATGTTTTCTTTTTTCCTTTCCCTTTTTTTTTTCTTTTTCTTTTTTAGATGGGAGCTTCCTGTGTCCCTCAGGCTGGGCTTCAACTTGTGATCCTCCTGCCTCAGGCTCCTGAGAAGCTGGGATTAAGGTGTGCACCACCATTCCCACCTAGAGTATAAAGAGTTTAGGTGGACAATGGACAAATTCAGCTTCCCTTCAGATGATTCATCAAATTAGTTCTTAAATTCCAATTCCTTTTACAAATGAATGTTTCAGGGTAGGCAAGCTGAACTCAGCATGGGCCAATGAGATGCAAGGAAAGAATATCTGTGAGAAATACGCTTTCTTGTTCTTACAACTACAGAGAGGCAGTCTTCTTCTCTCTCAGACTTGAGAGAGAGGGTCCCTGGTTACCTCAGGCTACCCTGGCCCCTTTCTTCACAGAAGGAATCAAGCCTTGGGGAAGCTGATTTTTGGACGCTGGGGCAGAGAGAAAGAATGTAAATCCTTAATGACCTGCTCGTTGAAGAATCAGCCACCCCTCAAGCCTGCCGTGGGCATCTTCCTAGGGGAGGTGATCGATTGCCTTCTTGTTTAACCTGGTCTCAATCTGGCTTTCTGAACTTGTATTCAATAGCATTTAACAGACACAAAGAATACAAAGGAAATACGACCCATAGAATTTGTCATATAACTGGAAGAACCATAACACAAATAAAAAAGTTAAGTTATCAGCCCATTTCAGTACTAGTAAAGAATGATGTATGGTCATGTAAGCATGCAGTACGAGCTGGGCACCTTGCCATGCTTTACACACATTATCTCATGTGATGCCCTAACGCGGTAGGTAGACATGGGTATCTTAATTTTAGATCTCAGAAAAATGTAAGGTTCAGGCACTTGAGAACCTGAGCAGTTATACAATGAGTGACTAGTATGGTGGTGAGCACGATTCCAAATATTATGCCTTTTCTATATGGTAGCTGGAAGGAGGAAGGTAGAGAAAATTCCATGTAGAAGATTGATCTCCTGAACAGAGTCAGTACAGTGGCTTTTTGTTCAGAAAAGCCAGACATCTGCTTCTTACTAGAGTGTAATTTTAGATAAATTACCTAATTTCTCTGAGCCTCAGTTTTCTTATTTGAAATGTGAAATAATTATATCTGCCTCCTATGGTCCTTGCCAGGGTGAATAACATGTTACATTTATAATGAGCCCCTGTTATTTGAATAATAGCTGGTGTAATGATTGGTAAGTGGAATGGATTGGAGGAGAATGCTGTTTTAATACCATACATGTACATTATCTTATTGGAAGCCTCTCTGGATTTACAGGACCGATACCCATTTTCAAACATTTTAATTTTGCAATATTATTGATTCATAAGAAGTTGCTACCAAGCCCCATTTTAAAAGTCAGTATCAAGCTTTTCCTGTACAACCTGCTATACTTCATTCTTTTCCTTAGGGTTGACTTTTAATTCAGCGACTTTTGGGAAATATTAAATGGAAAGTTCAAATGTGTCCAGGTTTTCGTTTTTGAAGCAATAATATTTAAAGATCAATAGCCAAATCAAGGCACTCAAAAGCTCAGAACTTCACACATTCATGTCTCAGTATCCTTCTATTAAAGTAGAAGCAGAGGGGGCTGGGGATTTAGCTCAGCGGCAAAAGCGCCTGCCTGGCAAGCGCAAGGTCGTGAGTTCGGTTTCCAGTACCGGAGAAAAACCAAAAAAAAAAAAAAATAAATAAATAAAGTAGAAGCAGAGGTCATCTTCCCCCTCAACTGGTGGAAAACCTGAAGGTGGAGACCATTAGAAAAGAAAGGGTGAGAACTTAGCAGACCCTCTGCAATCTTGCCCTGGGCCGATGAACTATCGCCTGATTGCTGAACAAAGGAATTTTCCATGCATAGCACTCTCTTTTATGAAATTTGATTTTCCTTGTCCTCTGTATCTTTCACCCTGCATGAACTTCCAGCCCAGTTTCAGATCCCCTGAATTTGCTCCCTTTAGGAGGCTCCCTTTCGAATCCTGGCAATGGATTCTGTTTTCTCAGCCGGCTGCTGCTGCCCACCGGAAGTCTGTTGGCCCCTTCCATGACTCAGCACCTTAGAGAGGCAGATGGCCGTGTAGGGAAAGTTAAGATGGGCCACGCTGCTGTTGACAGGAAAGAAAGGGAGCAAACGCTGCCCACAGGGCAAGCTGAGACACCAAACTCTAATACTGAATGGAAAAAAACAACAGATGATGGGAATCCTGTGAGGACGAGGAACAGGAGGAGGAAAGAAAAACAGAAGCCTTCTTGGGTAAGAACAGGGTAGGTTGCAAAAAGCTGTGTGTGAATTTCTTGGTAGGCTTGAATAAAGTGGTCCTGGCCACATGACCACCCTGTTAGGGGGCAGGCAGAGCCTATGGGCCTGTGTTGTGAGATTCGGCTTTGTCCTCATTTTTCTGAAACTAAAAATCTGTCGATGGAGCGTGATGCAGCGTAGAATGTGAGCTTGGAAGATTGCAGAGAAACACAGACAAGAGCTCCTCTCCTCTGTGGACTGTTTGGCCCCCATGCAGCTGGCCTGTTCCCTGAGAAAACAGTTTGTTTTAGGTGGTGCTCTTGCCAGAGTGGATTCTGTCAGAGCTATGTGTACCTAGGACTTGGACTCTGTCAATTCTTCTTGAAAACAAGCAGAGCGGGGAACAAATCTTCCATTTGCTATGCTTTCTTCTTGTGAGCTTCTTTTGAATTAGTCTAGATTGTTCTAGAAAAGCAGATGGAGCGATAGAACTCTCCCTCCCTCTCTCTCTCTCCTTCTCTCTCTTTATTGAGATTTTAGTTCTCCTGTCTTCGTGTTCTAGGTGACTTTGAAGGAACATATAAAATGGACAGTAGAGGTGTATGGAGGGGCAGGGATCAGTACAAGGAGAAAATCGAGGACTGGCACATTATACACCTGACCTGCATATTTGCTAGGAGAATATCACATATTTGGCTCAGAGCTTTACAGCAGCTAGAACAGAGGGGAATATGTGATATGTAGTTTATAAATCAACAGTATAAATTATATTGTCCATAGCATAAAAACAAACTCCCTGTTTAGAAGAATCACAGTGGCTTTTGACCTGGGAGAAATTCCCTCCCACAGTGTGGGGAGGCAGTGAACTCTTTCTTTAGCATCCACACAGAAAGAACAGTAGTGAGTTTCATGGGGCTGTTACTCTGAGGTCCCTCGGTGCAAGCTGATGGTTTCATGGGCAAATTCAGCCAGGGAGAGTAATTCTATAAGGAGCCCAATTATTTGGTTGTAGAGTACAGCTATAATATCTGGGTAAAAAGTTAAATCTCAAAGGAAGGGACTACATGGCCATTGGGAGTTTTACCTGACTTTTTTTCTTTCAACCTTAGCTTTTTAACTGTTTTTGAGCAGCTGAGTTCAAGGCTGTACTCCCTGGAGAGATGCTGAGTATAGAAAATCCATGGTGCCGATGAAGGACACATCTGTCAGAGTCAGTGGAGCCATTGCTAGAATTGATGTTGTTATTTTTAAAGAAAACTTAGGAATCTAATACAGACAAAGGCTGGGCTGGGAGGCCATGTTCCCCTTTGTGTTCAGTGCTAGAAATCAGAAGAAATTCATTCTGAGGACATTTATATTTTAGTATGCCTTAATTTTTGGACTTAAACGGTAATTAGCCATAAAAAATTGGAAATAGAAGCATAAAAAATTAAAATGATCCTTTATCCAGTCACTAGAAACATTGATCTTCTATTTTCTAAATTTTATTTACAAAATTGGATTTTTAATTATGCAGACAGCTCCTTATACTATTTCATTTGATATCACATTGTGAATGTTTTTTGTATCATCATATATATTTGAAGTTATTGTTTTATTTATATTTTATATTCTTTGTTATATGTTTATTTATTTATTTTTGTTTGTGCTACATTTGATGCCTGGCTAAACCATAACTTGTTTAGTCATTTCACTATTTTGCTCTTTCATCTCTTCTTTCTTTCTTTTCTTTTTCTTTCTTTCTTTCTTTCTTTCTTTCTTTCTTTCTTTCTTTCTTTCCTTCCTTCCTTCCTTCCTTCCTTCCTTCCTTGCTTGCTTCCTTCCCTCCCTCCCTCCCTCCTTCCTTCCTTCCTTCCCTCCATTTTCTTCTTTTTTTTGATATTCTAGTCAGGGGTCAGCTTATTTGTTTTCTAGAAAGATGCTCTGTCTCTGCAGTCAAACTACTTGGATTCAAATGTCCATTCAAACTGAGTGACTTTGGAAAAGTCACTTAATCTTTCTCACAATTTCTTCACCTATAAAGTGGGGATAATATTGGCGCCTGTGTTCTGGAGTTTTTGTGACAGATGATGTCTGTAAAAGAGTTACTACACTGGAACAGATCTCTGAATGATCGCTGTTGTCATGATTGTGTTCCAGAAGAGGTGATCCAGAGTTTGCCACGTCAAGAACCCAAGTTCACATCGTAGGTGCCAGACCACAAGCACTGGGACCTGCTTCTAAGAGAGTTATTGTTTCACAAGCCAGCCTTCAGGAAGACAGGCAAGAAGACTGTCATCATGATGCAACTACTGGGAGCCCTTGCCATGGGGCCAGTTACTGGGGATCCCTGCAGTGAGTCCCCAGTCTCCTGCCAAGTGTTGTGGTGCATGACGGGAAGAAAAGAAAAAGCAAGAGACAAAGTAGAGGAGTGCATAGCAGGGATCTGGGACGACCAGCTTCTAAGGCCCCAAGCTATCCAGACTCTTGGTATTTCTTCATTACATCTAATTCAAGGAGAATGAGTGAAGGGCTGTGGGTGTTTCTGGGAATAGTAATGGTGACTACGTGCAAGATCAAAGTATCCTTGCAAGGACAAGGACAAGAACAAGGACAAGATGAGGTGGAGGGGCAATAAGGAAGCCGCAGTTTCCCCAGGTGTCTTCAGCAGGTTTTATCTTGCCCTGTGAGCACCACCGCAGTCATTAGCCCTAGGGCTTCCAGCTGTGACCAGAAAAGAATGGAATTTTCACGTTCCAATCTGGCCCAAGGGCAGGGCGAGAACAGTCTTGTACATGCCCTAGACTCAATTTATAATTCGTGGTCCCCAACAATGGATGTCTTAGTATATAAAGGGAAAGAGGTAAAGAGGAAACAATTATACACAACCAGTCTCTGTACTAGTTTGCTGAACTATGGATCTGGAACCAGCTGCTTGGCTTTCACAATAGAAAGTAGCTGCCTGGAAGATGTGGGAGTGGAGGTCAAGATGGCAGCAGAGCTGATTCCTTCTGAAGGGTCTGAGGGGAGGAAGGGTCCCAGGCCTCTCTGCCTTTGGCTTAGAGATGGCTGTTTTTTCCTGTGTATCATTATATTACTATTCTTTTATGTGTGTTTCTGTGTTCAAAGTTAGCTTTTTATATAAGAATGCCAGTTATATCGGCTGAAAGTCCATTTAATGACCTCATTTTGATTTTCTCCATATAGGTCATCTCCTCATGCAGTCCCATCCTGAGGATCTAGGAATTGGGACTTTGGCATATTAAGTTGGCATTGGGGATGAGAGGGATACAATTCAATTAATAATTTTCCAAAACAAGCTTCATTTTATTTTGCACTCTGGAAGAAAATTATTACATCAAGAAAGACAAGAACCACGCCTATTGTAACATTTGTATAACCCACAATAGCATAAAAAATACATGTGCAAAATGTAGGTTCTCTGTGATAGTCATGGAAGATAGTGAAGCGGCGGATGTGAAAGAAAGAACTAGATTTGATTAAAAAGAAGCTTATGGAGCCATCTTGTAAGTTCTACCATATAAAGGATCTGTCCCACCATTAAGCAATTTTTCCATGAGATCTGAGGTGTTCATTTCATTCTTGACCTAGCTAGATGAACATTTTAAAAATGTGCAAAATATGTTAGTAAGAATCCTGAGACTGCTTCAGAAAGTCAATTGAAAGGAACTTCACTGCCTTGGTAAAAATTAGAGAAGAAAATCACACTTCTAATGTGAGCTGACAATGGCTTGAAGAAATAGGAGAAAGGTAGTGCTGGGGGAAGCAGAGAGAAAATGTTTTTGACTCTCCTAAATTCAAACAATATACTAACAGGTAATAGTAGATTTGACCAGCTAAAGGAAAAAAGCAGTCTAGAAATATTTTAGTATATCTGCTGCCAAAGCAAGCACAGCAAAGTATAAATAGATCACATAAAAGACTCAAATCTAAGCGCCCTTGTGCATGTCTGTAAATTCCAGCTACTTGGGAGGCTGAGGCAAGAGGACAGTGAGTTTGTAGCCAGGCTGGGAAACTTAGAACTGTGTCAAAATAAAAAGGACTCGAACACCTCAAAAATATATAATGTGGTGGCTCAGGTCAGTGGAAGCCCTTGATCAGCAGTAACAAGGAGCAAGCATACTTGGGATGAGGAATGGACTGGCTTACTCATGGTCACTCTCCCCATGACTCATCATTCAAGTCACCAAGATCATCTATGCATTTATAAGATTGCAGAACTTGAAGAGGCATTAAATGTGAAAACGGCAAGCAAAGAATTAGTGATGAAATGATCATTCAGAGCTGAGTTCTTGTTGCCTGTGAAGATTGTTCAGGGACTCAAGCACTAACTTTTTTGCTTTAATCTGCAGACTAAGAGCTCAGAGTGATCCTGTGGAGTCCAGAAGAATGGTAGGTGCAAAGGTTGACCCTGCAGATTAGATGTCTGACTTCCGGGGGAGCGTGAGTTCCTCACAGGACGGTGCCTGGGTCTCCTGATCTTGTGGGCAAGTTCAGCCTGAAGCACTATTCAGGAAATCATATATCCTGATTCTCTGGCCAGCATCATTCCAGAAGTAGGGGTGTCAACAAACGAGCCTTTAGGAAGGAAGGGAAACTGGAAATAGAGCGGGGTTTGAGAGCAGTGGCTTCTGGTGTGTTTTTAGATGTGGAAATTTCCAATTTGAAGAGTTCCAATATTTCCTAGCCTTTCTAGTTGAAATATGGTTTCTTCCTTTCTAAACATCGAAAGATGACATCACCACCCTTCCAAGTCAGTTAGAAGGAATCCAGAGTAGGTTTCTGGAAGTATTTTTACCCAGTGTTAGCTGGACTTGGACAGCAGCAAACTGTAGTTCTTCCTGAGAAATATTTGCTTCTGCATTTTATGTCCAAATTGTCATTTATTTGGATGCATGCAAACGTTGAGGCTGTGGGGAAATCTTGTTGCCTCCCAGACAAACTTCTCAGTTTAGTAACAATCCAAATGCATGAAAATCATTTCCTTGCCTTTGAAATGATATTTATAAAGATCTCATGATTTATTTCAGAAACCTTCAATTTAGTGGTTGGGTAATTTCAACCTCCTCACCAGAAAACTCAAACGCAGAGAGATCTGGTAGAATTTTAGTTTTACAGTTGTGATAGAAACACACAGAGAAGGGCCTATAAATAAATGGACAGGAGTGACTTTGGGCCCTCAACATTTTATTCCCAGGTTTATGTTTCTCTGTTCTTCACGTAGACCTGTGGTATGTGGCCAAAGTACGCACCTGTACAAACTTCTAGCAGGTTCATAATGTAAGGAGTGGAAATGTCTTAGCAGATCAGTCGTGTTGTTGTTTGTTTTTGGTAAGGTATCAAGGACCAGTTCTCCCATCTGGAAAAATTGGCCTGCTACCTTCTTAGGAATGAGTTAATGATTGCTTCCTGCTTGAAAGTCAAAATTAGGATGTCTTTCCCTAGGAATTATATCATGCTATAAATAGTACTTGCTAATAATATTAATAAGGAACTGACCTACTTCCTCTTTTTAACCAAGAGATAAAAGGTAATGGATTTTCCAATTACTTGGCATTGCTCTTGCTATCAAGCTGTCTTATTTCGTACATATATTAAATTTAAATTGCAAATGTACAAAGAAAATGCTGGAAGAATAGGAAATCCCGTTTTTTGTTTTTTTTTTTTTTTTGTTTTGTTTTTTTTTGTTTTGTTTTGTTTTGTTTTTCTCCGGTACCGGGAACCGAACTCACGACCTTGCGCTTGCCAAACAGGCGCTTTTGCCGCTGAGCTAAATCCCCAGCCCTGTTTTTTCTTTTTAATCTAGGAAGAGCAAGAAAGTATGCCTAATACCATATCTGGCTCTTTGGTTTTGTAGCTTTAGGGAAATACTTAGATGCTTTAGTTAAAATCAGACAAAGGGAAAATCAAATGCCAATTTTATTACAAGGGACCCACTGGGGAGACACTTTAAGCCAGGAACTCATGGCTAGAGACAGAGTAGGTCTACTGCCATTCAGAAAATGTTTTAAACAATATAAAATGAAATCAACAATTATAGAATGCAGTTAGACATCTAAGTTCTTCAGATGGCCATTGGCAAGCCATGCTAACCAGCCATGTCACCCTGGGCATGACGTCAGGGCTGTGTGCACTGGACTGTGACTGCCACAGGGCAGCGACTGTCGAACCTTTGCTGTTTGGTGAAATATGATATATGCTTCTTGCAAAGAATTAAAATATTGCCGGGCGTGGTGGTGCATGCCTGTAATCCCAGCACCTGGGAGGCTGAGGCAGGAGGATCATTGTGAATTCAAGACCAGCCTGGGCTACAAAGTAAGCTCAAGGCCGGCCTGAACTGCATAGCGAGACGCTGTCTCAAAAAGACTGAAACAATTAATTAATTAATTAATTAGTAAAAGAATTAAAATATCAACTGGGTATGGTGGCATATCCCTCTAATCCCAGAACTCTGGGGGGCTGAAGCAGCAAGGTTGCCAGTTCAAATCCAACTTTGTGATTTAATGAGACCTAGCTCTAACGGGAGGTGGGGTTTGAGGGTGTAGTATAGTGGAAGGCCCCTGTGTTCAATCCCCAGTACCAAAAGGAGGGGGAAAGGAGTAAAAATGATTGAAAATACTCAGTGAAGAAAATGAAAGCAATCCATGATCAACTTTTTTAGGCTAAATCATTGTTAACAATTTAGAAAATCATCTCCCATCCTTGGGGGAGGAGTTATCTCTATCATTTGTCTATTTATATTAGGCAGCAAAGTAGAAATATGTTCTTAAAATTTTTTGTATTTATTTATTATTTATTTATGTTTTATGTTAAAGAGAATAAAAATAAATATATTTGTTGTCTTAATTGCTGACCTGAAAATCTGCCATAGATTGAGGGTAGTTTTTGTCCAGAAAAACAGCTTAATCAAACCTGAGTACTTGGGAGGTACTGGCCAAGCTATTTGTTGATGCCTTACTTCCAGAGAATAGGACAGAATTCCTGTGCTCGAAAGGAGAAGAATTCTTTCTTTTTCTTGCACTAAGGTGCTGAAGACAGAGCAGAGAAGAAACACTGAGGAAGAAGCAGATGAGAGGAGGAAAGAAGAATCTGAGGAGGCTGTAAGCCAGGGTGCTGCATGGGGGAGTGAAGAATTCACAGTTCTGAGGTGGCTGGGAAGTGTTTGGAGTCCAGCATCACTCACTGGGGACCTGATGGCATTTGCTCTGCAGCAGGTGGTTTCCCCCTTTCCCCAAGCTCCAGTAGTTTAATAAAGACTATTTTCTTGTGCCCCTGAATTTACTGAGTGCTTGGCAAGGTTTTGGACTCTACAGGACATAGACTTGTGGGTAGATGTTGAGCCACTTTCATCTGTAGGGTCCAGAAAGACCCTGTGTAATACTTGGGTTATAATTACTCTAATTCAAACTGTAAGGGTGAGATCCTTCTTCATGCCCTTCTTCAATGGTTAATGTGAAATCTCCTACCAACAATGTTGCTCAGATTATTCTAATGGCTTTCTGGTACCTAATACACTAAATCCCACAATCCTGTGACCATCCCATTTGGTCCCAAATTCTTGTCCACATGTTCCTCCTTGTACTGGTGATAACACTCATAATCTCTGCTCCACAGGATGTGACTGTACTCTAGCACTGATGGCTGCCCACGAGGGCAGACAGGCTGCACTGTAACTTTTCTTTGCAAAAGAACAGGGGGTAATGGAAGGATCAAGTCCAGCCATGAAAAATAAATCGTGGGATTTAGGTCCAGTTTGCCCCAGGTATTCTATGGACCAACTGCCCTCTTGGCTTTTCATCAGCTTGTACCCACGGGGTCAGGCACAGGTCAGGGCTCCTGGCCCCTCATCATTATTGAGGCTTACACTCAGAGAAAGAGAAAATTTTACTTCTCATCTTAGTCTAATTCCTGTTCACTAAGTCCTTTATGTTTGTCCCAGGATGAATGTCTTCCTAGTATGATTGGCAGTGGAGAGTGTCTGTCTTTTACTAGAAAAGCCAACTCCTATGTGATTGTGTGAGCTGGCTCTGGGACCTCAAGAAGAAAATCACAGCAACACTTTTTCCTTCATCTTCATTTGATGGCATGTTCACTTGATATAATTTTTATAAAAATAAATATGTAACAACCATACGTCTCAATTTCTTCTTCTACTTGACAATATATCTTTTTTTTTTTTTTTTTTTGGTTTTTCTCTGGTACTGGGAATCGAATTCATGACCTTGCACTTGCCAGGCAGGCACTGTGCCATTGAGCTAAATCCCCAGTCCCTTGGATGATATATCTTGTACTTTGTTCCATATAAGAACATATCCACTTCATTCATCTTAACAGTTGTGTGTTATTGCATTTAATGGTGATATTGTAATTTGTTGGCGAACATTTTGACCATTTAAAAATATTGTAAAAACTATTCCAAAAATGTTTTAACAGGGGCTGGGGATTTAGCTCAGCAGCAAAGCGCCTGCCTGGCAAGCGCAAGGTCGTGAGTTCGGTTCCTGGTACCAGAGAAAAACCAAAAAAACAAAACAAAACAAAACAAAAATGTTTTAACAGATGATGTAAGTGCAGTGAGTATTGTAATATTTGCCAGGCAATGCTTTTTAAATTGCTGTTAAATATATGTAAAAAAAATTTACAACTTCAACACTTTTTAGGTAACAGCTCTGTGTATTAAGGGCTTTCTTGTTGTTGCACCACCATCATCACCATCTGCCTTCAGAACTTTTTGTCTTCCACGACTGGAACTTTGTGCCCATTAAACACTAATTCCTCATTTCTCTTTCATGCCAGCCCTTTCTGCCTTTACGAATTTGGCGATTCTAGGTACCGTGAAAAGGGGATTTATAATACATTTTTGTGACTGGCTTATATAGCAGTCACATAAGATGTCTTCAAAGTTCACCGGTACTGTAACATGTATCAGAATTTCCTTCTTTTTTAAAGATCATCAGTTTATTGTATGTATGTGCCACATTTTATTTAATCATTCATTTGTCAATAAAAGCAAAAGACAGCAAAGACAATAGAGAAGCAATAGAGAAGCAAAGGAGAACAACTTGGCTATTGTGAATAATGCTGCTATGAACACGAATTTACAAATACTCAGCTCTGCTTGCATCCCTACTTTCAATTCTTTTGATTGTTTACCCAGAAGTTGACTTACTAGATCATATGGTCATTTTGTGTTTAATATCTTTAGGAACTGCCATGTTATTTTACATAGTGGCATTTGGATCATTTTAATAATGTAAAATAGCTTTATACATCTATCTGTGCACATTCAGATAGAGTGTTTTTGTAGAACAAAGTTCTAAAAGCATAGAAGCTGAATTACTAAGTGAATATTGTTAAATTTACCTCCAAGAAAAGTGTGTTAATTTTAATTCCTACCTATTCAAACTACTATCAAAAACTCCTGCTTCAACGCTTGCTAACAAATTTTGCAGTATCAATCATTTTGACCTTTGCCAAGATGACCAGCAAAAATTTTCAGTTGGCTAAGACTTATGCATCTATTTAGCTTTGTGTTTCATCGTTGGTGAGGTTGAGCTTCTTTTCATTATTTTCTTCCCATTTATATTTGTTCTTCTGTGATTTTGTTTATGTCCTTTACCAGTTCTTTTTCCCCAATGACTAAAAATTGTCTTTTTCCTAATAACTAAAAAGCAGTATTTGTAAATTAGAATACTAACATTGTGTCTTTACAAATGTTATGGCTATTTTTAGTTTTTATCTTTTGGCCATAATTATAAAAGACTTCTATAAGAAATTTCAAAATTTAAATTTGTGGAGTGTTATATTTATAAATACTTTTCTTTATGGCCTCTGGGATTAAGTTTTGCTCATAATTACTTTTCTCACTTCAACATTTCTTAAAATATTCATTATTATTTATTTTCAGTATTTATTTATGTTTGAAAATTTAGATCATGGATCTGAAAGGGATTTCTGTGAGGAGCAGCACGTTGTATTTTTTCTCCAATTTTTAAGCAATTGTTCCAATCCCTTTTTTTTTTACAAACTCATCAGTTCAAAAGGCCATTATTAGCTTATACCAAAATATATTCGTTTGCTTTTTTTCTGTTTCATTGGGACACCTTTCTTTTACTGAGATGATAACATACTATTTCATTTTATGTGACTTCATATCACCTTTTACACATATTAAATCTTGTCCTTCCCTTTATGACCTTTATTAAAATTTTGTTGTTCTTGACTATTCTCACTTGCTTATTCTTTCAGATAATCTTTAGAAGCAATTGTTAAAGTTTGTTAAAATTCCAGTGGCATGCCATTGAATTTACAGACAAATTCAGGGAAATTGACACTATACAATACTGAGTCTTTGCATCTATGCATGAGACATTTTTATCTGTTTATCAAAGTCATTTTAATTAACAGTTACCTCTGATTATTTCCACTTGAAAACAAGTCTTAATTTCAAGTTTTTGTTGAGGACCACCTGTTCTGCTTGATTATCTCTTTTGTTTTTTTACCTGCTTTTATTCTAACCCTATCTACAAACTAGCTCATTAGAATTTGGAGCAAGAACTGTAGAATAAAAATATCTAATTAAAGTCTACCTGAGAAGAAACTAGATGAAGTGACAGCAATACTCTTAGCCACAGCTCTCCCAAAGCATGTGGTTTCTCTCAGTGGAGAGATCTTCCCCGACCCATTGGGGTGGGGAAAAATGGAGAGTAGGGAAGGCAGACAAATGCCCGCATGAGGAATTACTTGGGTAAATTCTTAGTTCTTATGGAATCAGACATTTCTTGTTTAGCTTTTTATTTGTTTTTTTTTTTTTTTTAATTCTTAGAAAATGAGATGTATTTGTGACTAAGCATGAATGAAAAGGTCTGCTAAACTGAAATATAAGGATAGTGTGGGAAATGTAGAATGCTATTTAAACTTTTTCTGTAATAGGAAAAACTGTTGACACTATTTCAAACGGAAAGGAAGAATTAAGCATTTTAAAAGACTAGAACAAGATTTAGGTTAATAAAATAAGAGAGAGATGAGATAATCTCCTATGAAACTATTTAATGTTTGTAAACACCACGACATCATTTGTATTTCCTTAAAGATTGATAAAATCATTTTATATTGTGCATTGAATTTACAGTAAGAGGCTGAAGAAATATATATTTTTAAAAACAGTGTCACAATCACCACTAGAGGGTACAATAAGCAACCTTTCTTCCAGATATTTGAGCAGAAGTATATTACAGGGGAATGGAAGGCAACTTAGAATCACAGCACTTGAAACAACCTCTGTCGACATCTGGATGAGAAAGGGCTTTGGGAAATGGTGATCAGACTTGACATCTAACCATGGCAAAGAGTATCAAGTGACTTTCAAGGACAAATGTGTGTCTTGGTAGAAGAAAAGTGAATTTGTCAGTGAATACAGAAATGTTTCTGAATTAAACAAAAAATAAGCTTCTCGTGTCTGCAGAACCGTGCAGCTGACTCACTCCTTATTCCTGTTGGTTAAAGCTACTCTCCAGTGACTTCACTCTGCAGAGATGAACTCCATGAGGCCTTGAGAAACGGAATGATGCCATAGGGCTTTGTGACTCAGGAAGATCCAAGTTGGCAGGGAAAGAGACCACATTCTCAAACCAGCAGCGCCGCTGGCATGAGCTGGGTGGATACAGAGGACATGGATTCCCCACTGAGGGTGTTTCACTAGTCTCACAGCACCCAGGCGGTGACCGATAAACACACTCCGTATTAGAATTCTAAGAAAAACAGGTTTTTATGGGTCTGTTTGTTTAAGTTGGACCATTGCACCCTGGGTACCACCTAATCTGCTGTGATTGTTCTTGCAGGGTGTGTCGTTCTTAACACAGGATTTTTCTCATATCTCTTTATAAACACGCTTTCAGCCTTCAAGTTTTAAGTACTCTTCTGTATTCCAGAATAGCTGCTGTTCTTAAAGCAAAACAGCAAAATTTGCTATATAGTTTCAGTCCTAAGTAATAGGAAAATATAAAAGAACCACATCTTATTATAAAGAGAAAAACTTAAGCTTTTACTTACTAACTATTTTTACAAGCAGAACATTGCTTAATAGGTACCCTTTACAATGATGCTTTATAGTAATCTTTCCAACTACTTTGGTAGTTTTTTTTCTGTTTGTTTTGTGTGTGTGTGTGTGTGTGTGTGTGTGTGTGTGTGTGTGTGTTTGGGTGGGAGCTACCACACCTGACTGGTAGATATTTTTATTCACATTTTATGGAGTGAGGAAATAGAGATTACAGTGGTGAGAGACTATACCCAAATCCCCGAGTTAGTAGAGGAGCGAGCTAGGACAATGGAAGTTTGGACTCCTTTGTAATCCAGTCCTATTGGTGCTATTGTTGGGCTCCTGTTCAGTATTAGAAATCCTCTTCAAGGTACATTTACATCCCTGCAAGAACTTCAGACTTAAGGAGGATTTTTCTTTTTGGTGTGGTAGGGTATTGCTGTGTTTCTGCTGAGTCTAGTCATGTGCGGTTTTGGTTTCTTGGTCAGTTTTGTTTCTTGGGTCCATTTCACTGTGTGTATGATGCCCAGCTAGTACAATATAAAAGGATTATTAAATTTCTTCAGTGTTTAAAGTTTTTTGATTTTCATCATAGCAACATCCTGTCTTGTTTTATTGACTACCTGAAAGACTTTCTCAAAGTGTACAAAGTTGCTAAGTGCTTAAATCTTTTCAGCATTTTTAAAGCATTATTTATCTGTATTGTTACTCAACATTATAAGGTACATGTACTGGATATAGAAAACAATTCATACTTCTATATTTTAGTGTTTTGAATATCAGGGACAGCTGTGCTACTCAGCTTTTCGTCAGTGCAGACAAATACCTGAGGAAAGCAGTTGAGAAAAGTTTATTTTGGTTTCAGAGGTCTTAGTGTGTGGCCAGCTGTCTCCACGGCTTTTAGGTCTGTCATGGGGCAGAAGCATCATGGCGGAAGGGTGTGGAAAGCTGCTTACTCACGGCAGCCAGAAGTAGAGAAAGAGGGAAAGAACCAGTGAAGAAGGGCTGAGGACCAGACAGAGTTCCCCAGGTCACGTCCCCTTCATCCATTCCCTTCAACTAGGTCCCACTTCCTGTTTCCACCACTT